AAACATGTGGCAGGAAAGTAAGGTCCACAACAAAATATATATATATTTTTTTAAATGAGGGCATTTGAAGAGCTGTCTTTCTCAGATTTTTTAAGATTGTTTTCCTTATCTTTCCTAGAACTCAACCTTCGTAATTATTTTGGCAAATCATCATGTTATCAAAAAACATAGTGATTACAACATGTACATAGATTATGTATGATAAAATAATTCATTATACATGTATACCTCACTTTCGAAATCAAGCCTTCTGATTGGTCAAAATTGGAGTCGTGATTTTAGTCATTCCTGTAAAATGCCAAAACCGGTCAATAGTCTTTTGAAAAAAGCTTTTTAAAAGACTAAATTGACCACCGTATTTGCTGGCGTAAAGGCCGCAGTATTTTTGGCAGAGAAAATATCAAAAAGTCGGGGTGCAGCCTTTACGCAGACCTGCCAACCAGTACAATTTAGTCGTATTTAGTACGATTTTTAGAAGCAAATACGACAGTACGATTTTCCTTAATAAAATACGATTTTCAAAAAAACAAAAATTTATTTATTTATTATTATTATTTTTTTTTAAATTAATATTTTATGTGTGCGTCCACCATTTTAAATGGCAAAATTTCCATTCTGTCCTGTAAAGTATCCTACAAGTATCGGCAATTTGGGGATGTTCATTGGTTCATCGAACACACCAGTCATGACAAAATCATGCATATTCAACCAATGATCAATAAAAAAAAATTCTTCCTGTAGGTAGAAACTGTAAGAGGCATTGATCTGCGTAACAATCCGTGTTTATTTTCAAGAATACAGTTTTTGAACTCCAGAGGTTGGCAGGTCTGTTTACGGCGAAAGAGTAAAAAAAAAAAAAAAACTCAAGTCAAAACCAGCACAAATTTGCACATATGAGACTATGAATGGTACAATAACTATACCACTATGGTAAAGGACATTTTAACACATCTTACCGACAATTTTATCTTGCATTTTTGTCATCATCATTGTTTAGAGTCCATTTGTTCCACTTTGTGGGGTTGGACATTTCATTTCTTTGATGGCCGCCTTCCAAGCTTTCCTGTCTGAGGGATCCACACGGCCGACACCCGATGTTTTGGCATCCTCTTCGATGGCTTCCCTCCAGGTTTTCCTGGTTCTCCCATGAGGTCTTCTTCCAGTGACCGAGAAGTTTAGAGCCCTCTGGAGCCAGTGAGTTGCCTCTCTTCTCGCCACATGTCCAAACCATCTAAGTCTATTCATCCTCATAACCTGTGCCACCCCCATCAATCCCATTGATTGAAGGAGGACTTTGTTCTTCTTTCTCTCGTGAAGTGATACCCTGTGCATCCACCTCACCATCCTCATCTCAGCTTTCTCCATTCGCTGTACACTGGATGATTTCATTGCCCATGTTTCGCTCCCGTACGTCATGCATTTTCTAACACAGGCATCATACACCTTCCCTTTCACTCTTAACGGGGTCGCCCTTGAGGTGAGGAAAGGAGAGAGTTCACGAAACTTTTTCCAAGCACTTTGGATTCTTGCAGTCACAGCTGCTGTTTCTCCTCCTCTGACAGCCAACATGTCTCCCAGGTAGCAGAACTTATCCACCTTATCATATGTCGTTCCATGGAGATCCAGACCTGTCACATTGTCACTGGTACATTTCTGTGAGATTGTACCTAAGCACCTCTTACAGATGAATGTCTTACTTGCTGCTTGCAGGCTACCATGTATTCCACTGCATCTGCGATGGACCCAGCTCCTGCATTTGGTGCATCTGATTGAGTTGGCTCCAACACCTGTATAGCAAACTCCACAGGGGTACTCTCCTGTTTTCTCTGTCTCACCTGCATCAGCAGAAGACACCATGACCTTGGACTTTCCAACATTCACTTTCAGACCCTTTCCTTCTAGGGCTGCTTGCCATGAAGACATTCTAGCTATCAGTTCTTGTTCGCTCTTAGCCATCAGCACCAAATCATCTGCGTAGAGCAGTTCCCATGGAAAGCTTTCCCAGATGTCCTTTGAGATGACATCCATTACGATGATGAAGAGGAGAGGACTGAGCACTGAGCACTGAGCCTTGGTGAACTCCTACTTTGACATCAAAGCTTTTGCTGTCACCACACGATGTTTGGATGTGTGTCTTTGCTTCTGCAAATAATGCCATGACTGCTCGTACATGTACGAGCCACTCCTCAACACCTGCCATCCTCAACGCCCAACGCCCATCTGACAACCTCCCTTGGTACTCGGTCAAAGACCTTCTCTAGGTCGACAAATGCAAATGTCATGAATACGAAAATAAATTGCTAAACCAACATTTGCCGATAGATCTTGATCTAAGTTCGTGCCAATGCATTGCAAAAGTAAAGGAAGGGACCATTTAACGGAGCTGCCGCGAAGCATCCATCACTTCATCCATCCGAAGTCGCAATTTTTTTTCTCCATTTCATGCAGTTTCGCATTACACCGTACATTGTGGTAGGGGTATATATCGGACACCAAATCTGCCCGCGATCACTTTTTGAGCTAAACTTCGGTAAAATAAGAATATTGATGAATTTGGTATCAGTTTTTAAAAAAAAAATAGTGTTTTACAAGAAAATTACTATTACTGTATTTTGTTTTGTCTGTTTTTTGTTTTGTTTCCTTTTTTTCTTCCCTCTTTGAAATGTCAAAGTTGGGGTGCGGCCTATGTGGCGCTGCGGCCCTATCGCTGGCAAATACGGTAGGTCTCGATAGCGTAAACAAACTTGATTACCATGATTGGTAAGATGCACATGTATTCTATGACCCTTTTCGGTATATAAAAGTTATAATGACTGCTTTAATATTCAAGGCTGTTGTTAATAGGCTCCCGGGGAGGTTACATGATTGTATAAAAACAACTACGTTTCTCATAGCAGGCATTATTACTATAATAATCTATATTATAATTTGAGTAAGGAAATCCATTGAAATCTAAAAACTTTTAATGTATTGCACGCCTCCGGCAGAAAAAATGCCAAGTGTCATTCGTTATGACTGCAGATTGTTCTAAAGGCTGGGATTTTTAAAATAAGTTGTTCGAAATTTCAAAATTAAATATAAAAACTCAAATAGTTCATGAAAGAGGATGGCAACAGATATCGGTACTTGCGCTGAACAGCGAATGTACTCTCTTAAAATTGAAATTGAGGATAATAAAATTAGCGATACCTTCAGCATGTACATGTATAAAGGAAGGTTCCGAGGGAGAAAATTTCTGTACTATTTCTGTACTAGGTCTATGAGATTTCGTCTCTGCAACTTTTTCACCAATAACTGAAATAAGCAACAAGTACCGTTGCGTTTGCTGGTGCCTTGATCTACGTGGAAAGCGAACACGAAAGCTGTGATTGCTCTCGCTGTATCTTGTATTGTCACTGACACTCTCCCTGGTTGATCTGATCATGTGAAAATTCCCAGTTGTGGAAATAAGTGAAATTACAAAGATATTTTGATTTTCTGGGACAGGATAAGATTTTGTTACATCTGTAGTGACCAAATGTCACGATTTTTAACTTTTGCATTAATTTGTACGTGTTTAAAGACTACAGGTATGTCCCAACCGGTTCTGTTTGGTTCGTTAATATATTCTATTGTTATGTAGATTTTTCATTGTTAAATACAGCGCGTAAACTGTGCATATTAATTTTGTGGGTAAGAGCACACATTTTTTTTTTTTTTGGGGGGGGTCCAGTTTTTAAGAAAAAATTTCGCAACGACTCAGCCAACCGCTGGGGGAGGGGGGGGGGGTCATTCTAATTAACCACTATCGAACGAACCACAATGGAAATAACCGCGTTCAATTTTTTTTTTTCTTGTCAATAATTAACTTGGGGGCTTACTCAAGGGTAAATGCGCTACTTTTACTAGTATAGACGGCATCAGATCACCTAAAAATAAGAATGGGTTTATTATTGTAAATGTATTAGGTGCACACGATTTGGAAGCGTCATAGTGTAGTGGTTCTGACTCTCGTATTTCAATCATAAGGTCGTGAGTTCCTTCAGCAAGAAATTCATCCACATGTTGTGCTGCACTCCACTCAGGTGGAGTTAATGGGGACCTGGTAGGAATTTATTTCTTGAAACGCAGAGCGTGTGACAGCTGCTCTGCTAAAGCCATGCAGCTTAATTATGCTGCATTATTGTAGAACGCTTAGAGACTTCCGATAAAGTAAGTGTTAGGCGCTATAAAGGCACATATCATTATCATTATGTTTAGGATAGCATTCACCAACTTCTTTTGTTTTGTTTATCCAATCCACCATTGTGTCAACGCTTCAAGTACGTCCTTTCAAAACCTTACACGCTCACACAAAGCGTGCGAAAGGCCGCCAAAACGATAATACCGGCACTAGTAGTAAAAATAATGGTGATGATAATAACAGGGAAAAAATTAATATTTATTTTTCGGGGGCTACTTTTCAAGCTTGCATGCATGAAAATAACAATCTAAAATTTGTTTTGCATTGAACTCTATGCAAATTTACAGGGGCTCTTTTCTGATTTTCGGGGGCTATTTTGGGCATTTCGGGGGCTAATTCGCCCCGAGCCCCCGTGTATTTTTTTCACTGGATAATAATGATAATAATCATCATTATTATTATCAATTCTAGTAATGATGATACATGTACAGGTATGTAAACATTATCATCATTATTACAAGTACATGAACATGTAGTATTAATCCTCTTCTTCTTATCATCATCATTATTGAATTTACTGCCAGACTGCTTTTTTTGGAATAATTACCCTTGCCAGAACAATACCGCCCTCAGCTGCAATATATTTCAAATTTATGTTAATATCACAGGCATTACGGTATATTCTGATATCCCTAGGCTGTTATATATTGCATGCTTGAGCACGTACATGTATGTAATATTACAAGTTTTTGAGTGTCACATGATAGCTTCTCAGCCAAAAGAATGCTCTCTAACTAATATCCTATCATACACAATTGATTTATTATTCATTTTACAGTACTGTCAGTGAAAAGGAGTTCCTGAAGCTGGCCCAGGCTATCTCTCCATCTTACTACAATTATGTAGGGATATCTCTAGGGATCCCCCATGCTCAGCTACAAGCAATCCTGAGTGAGAAGTTGATGAACTACACCAATGCATTTTTGCATGTATTCATGAAATGGAATGTCATGCAGCCTCCACAGTCAAACAAACGGCGGATTTTGGCAGACAAACTTCGAGAGATTGATTTGGGTGGCATATCAGACAGATTACTCAATGAACCTCCAATTCCAGACAGCACAGGTAAACAGATACTAATTTTTGCTACACCAGAAGACATAGAAAACCATGCATAAAAGTGAATCCAGTTTTTACCATTGAGATAGTGAGTGCTTTGTGTTCTTTACATTTGGCACAATTTACAGAAGTGCCAAATTTTATCAGGCCACATGCATGTTTTTCGTCGGCGAGGATATAGTAACGCTGCCGTCTGTCCTTCCGTCCATTCGTCCGTCCGTTCGTAACAAATTTGGTTTCCGATCGATAAGTTCAGTAATGTTTGATGGATTTTAATGAAATTTGATATGAGGGTACATGATATCAAAATACTGGCTAAGTTCGATTTCGGAGTATGTAGGTCAAAGGTCAAAGCTCATTAAATATGCAAACTGGTTTCCATTCGATAACTTGAGTAATGTTTGACAAATTTTAATGAAAGTTGATATGAAGGTTCATGGTATCAAAATACAGGCTAAGTTCGATTTGGGAGTATGTACATGTACATGTATGTCGAAGGCCATAGCTCATTAAATATGTGAATCGGGTTTCCATTTGATAACTTGAGTAATGTTTTATAAGAATTTTAATGAAAGTTGATATGAAGGTTCATGGTATCAAAACACAGCCTAAGTTCAATTTGGGAGTATGTAGGTCAAAGGTCATGGCTCATTAATTATGGGAATCTGGTTTCCATTCGATAACTTGAGTAATGTTTGACAAATTTTAATGAAATTTAATATGAAGGTACATGGTATCAAAATACATGTACAGCCAACATGTAAGTTCGATTTCTAAGTATGTAGGTCAAAGGTGAAAGGTCATACCTCATTAAATATGCAAAAACACCTAATTATATATGAGGCCAGTCACCACGAAATGAGTCCAGTGTCGCATTACCGTATTTGCCGGCGATAAGGCCGCAGCGCCGCATAGGCCGCACCCCAACTTTGACATTTCAAAGAGGAAAAAAAAAAGAGAGAAAAAAAAAATAAATAACCAACGGACAAAACAAAATAATCGTAATTTTCTCGTAAAACACTATTTTTTTTTAACAAACTGATACCAAATTCATCAATATTCTTATAATTTACCGGAAGTTTAGCTCAAAAAGTGATCGCGGGAAGATTTGGTGTCCGACTACCACAATGTACGGTGTAATGCGAAACTGCATGAAATGGAAAACAAAATGGCCACTTCGGATGGATGCTTCGCGGCAGCTCTGTTAAATAGTCCCTTCCTTTACTTTTGCAATGCATTGGCACAAATTTAGATCAAGATCTATCAGCAAATGTTGGTTTAGCAATTTATTTTCGTATTCATGTCAACAATGCAAGATAAAATTGTCGGTAAGATGTGTTGAAATGTCCTGTACCATAGTGGTATAGTTATTGTACCGTTCGTAGTCCCATATGTGCAAATTCGTGCTGGTTTTGAATTGATTTTTTTTTTTTTTTACTCTTTCGGCGTAAAGGCCGCACCCTGACTTTTTTATATTTTCTCTTCCAAAAATACTGCGGCCTTTACGCCGGCACATACGGTAGGCTCAATCGTAGTAATAGCGATGTATAGTGTGTATGTACTGAAAATTGACCCACCTACCACATTCAAGATTTTTCCAAAAATCGACTTATTAATGTCTTGTAGTTTATGTCCCCAGAGCTTAGGTCACGAAAATATCTCCTAACATTTTTTGGCAAATAATATAGGCTATGTAATCTGAAATTATCACAAAAATGATGCATTTCTCAAAACTGGGTAATCCCATTGTTTATAAAGTCCAATTAGGTTTTTGTTCATATTTCTGGATATGATTTATCAATTTTAATGTGTGACCCTTTAATTTAAAGCTTACTTAATGTAGATTCATATAATACTTAAAAACAGGAATACAAATTTTGACCAACTGGACTCATTTCGTGGTGACAGGCCCCATATGTGAAAATGTGGTTAACTTCCTTGCCTAGTAATATAATAGTTTAGTCCAATGGAGGTAAATTGTTCTGGATGCTATGCTTTGCGCTGACTTGTTTACTAATTTAACTTTAGTCCATGCTAAAGATGCTGTATGTCCCTTTTGCAGCCAACATCAAATTCTGTAGAACTTTGCAGGAATTATGAATAAGTCATGTATGTCCTATCTGAAATTTCAACGTTAGCAGTGTCGTAATATTCACATTATGCAAGGAAACCTGTTTACTTGCTAGACTTTACTGTCAGACAATGTTGAGTGACTAATACTGGCTTTTTTCTTCTTTGGTAATAACATACATAAAATGAGCATTTGTCTACATCAATAACCCACTTATTCTAATTGTCAAAATTAAACTGATTGAATCTTTTCGCAGCATAAAACGTACAACCATTTGGTACAATGGTCTGAAAATCAGACTATTACTTACTGGGTCTATAGCTCTTAAGTCGATTCGACAACTAATAGTTGTTATTTTCCCCCTTGAAGACATTTTCAAGCCCCTCTTTTTTTTAGAGAAGTTCAAATTAGTATTATCTTTCAAATGCCGTAGGAATTTAACTTTTTCATTTTGTTGGCCTGCAAATGGGACATAGTACCTTTAATCCTAGTTAGTTTCTCAACACCAATATATACATGTAGTACAAGTACTTTGAGTGACAGCAGAATTTGATGTATGTCAGCTTTCTTTACATGCACACGTTCGACAAACAAATTATATCTCATCATTGTGAGGTTACTCATTTAAAAAATGGAATGACACATTGATTGCTCCACAGATCTCTTGCTCTTAATAGATGTGCTTAAATAAAATTAAAAATTGCATACTTTATATGGATTATATTAATTCCAATATTGCATTATCAATCCAGAGATGCCAACCAGTAGGATTAAATCGTATTTAGTGCGATAATAAGAGTGAAATATGATATGATATCACCTCAATACGATTTTTCATCCTTAAAAAAAATATTAAAATATATTAAAAAGCCCTTAAAAAACGTGGAATCGCATAGAAACATGTACATGTACAAGTATTGCCCCGCAACCCCAACAAAAACTTTGCCTTACAATGTTCTCATGAAATTTTAATGAAAGGGCAAACATTTAACTTGACTGCTCTTACCAGTATACCATTTTTGTGATATTTTACTGGCCCAGGGCCAACGCGCCAGTGCTAGTGTCAAGTTTTCGTGAAAATCTGATTTTTTAGGATACTCAGTCTGTTTTTTTGTATCAAGATTTTGGCATCTCTTCCAATCATCTCTATTTGCCAAACTATAATTACACTCTCCATTCAACTTAAGTGAATTATATACATGTCCCTTTGTTCTCAATATACATGTACCTCACACCCATATGACAATAGGCATACTTTGAACCTTGAACCATTATTTCTTGTAGCACTGATCATACTTTATTCAACAATGTATTCTTCCTATGAATTTGGTTAAGTCATATACGGTATCATATAATCTTTATTTTTTCACATCCATTACCCACTTTCGTTATCCCACCATCAATATTGTTTGATATAAGGTGTACCTACTGTTTTTATGAACGTATTTACTATTGTCTTTTGTGCAGCATCCTTATGTTATTACCTTATAAATTGCACTCAATTCAGCCGCTAGGCTGCAATGAGTGCAATGTTTTTTTTTATATCACAATAAATAGATAAATATTCTTTTGCGTCATTTCATTATGATAACTGTAATTATGCATCCGCCCAGTCGCCCACCCAAGGTGGTGCTGGAGAACATATGTTTTGGGCGTTATTTCGATATCTCAAGAACTTGAGGTATAAATTTCAAACTTGATGTTATCACGCATCACCAAAGTGAGATGAAGCGATTAGATTTTGGGATAAGTAGGTCAAAGGCCATGAGGGTCAAATTGAATTCATTTTTAGGGTTCAGCTCTTAAGCCCCATTATTGCAATGTCTCAAGAATGGTTTGAGCCATGAATTCCACATTTGGTGTCAGTATGCTTCCCCATATTGAGACATACTGATTATGGTTTGGGTTAATAAGGTCAAAGGTCAACAAAATGAATGATTATCACCATATCAACAACTACTTTAATCTATTTTAGCTGAAATTTATTTAAAAAAAAGGAAAGACATATAGGTATGTGTCACCATAGGGAGACAAGTTATCAGATGTTGGATTGTCTGGTCAAAGGTCAAAGGTTGTATAGATCAATCAACATGTATTCATATTTTATATACAGGTATTCTCATTGTGATATTTAAAGATCAATTCTAATCCTGATCTTACCTTAATTTAGGCAGAGGTATAATGAAGATGCAGTCATATTTGTCTTTTTTCCCTTCAAAATAAGATGTGTGCTTGGCAGGGAAACTCTGCATTGCTGAAATGTCCTAAGAAAAATTATTCCAGGGATATGATTTTAAGTGCCCTTAAAATTGAATGAAGTCGCATAAATTCAGACAAACATGTAGGACTTTGTATCTTTAAGTACATGCACGTACTCCTAGTCGTAGGTCACATTATTAGCCTCAGGCAATTACAATTCTTTCAGATGTAGCAAAATATGTTTGTGTATAATCATGTGAATATATGCATTATTTATGTATTTTTAGGAAGGCCATCAAGACTGCTCGAATCACAGACCAAACCTCCCTCAGCTGAATCTCTGACCAAACTACTTTCTCCTGAACTTGTTGAGCGGTGTGCAAATGATTTCAAGTTCAAGTACAGGTCAACTCTGTGTAAGATCAGAGCTGATCCTCTCAATCCTGCTTCCTCTGTGCAGTTTGATGACATGTATACTAATCTCTTCTTATTAGAAGAACATGGGACAGAGAAGCGAGTGCTAGATTACAATGATATCCTTGATCTCAAAGTCAATGGAGAGTTCCCAAAGCGGATCATGGTTCAGGGAGAGGCAGGGGCTGGAAAAACTACATTCTGTGCCAAGATTGCCTGGGACTGGATTCAAGGGATGTATTTCAGTGACTTTGTGTGGGTCTTGATTGTTCCTCTACGTGAATTTAAGCATCACTCTATTGGCAAGATTGCAAAGTCTTATCTGGCCAAAAACAATCCAGCAACGGTTTCTCAGATTACTGAGTATATCCGTTCAAATCCTGACAAGGTATTCATCGCATTCGATGGGCTAGATGAAGTCAGTGGCAAAATCATGGAGACAAAATCTTGCGAATCCCAGCCTACTGATGAAATGCAACTTCAGACATCACAGCCAAGTGTCACCTCCTCAGAGACAGGTGGAAGCCCATCTGAGACTGGTGATATTGGACTTGTAGATATTCTTTGTTCAGATCAACTTGCCTCTTGCCCAGTCTTGGTGACCACTCGCCCATGGAGAGCAGTAGAGATTAGATCAAATGGTGATCTAATGAAGCTCTACACATTCATGCATGTTCAGGGTTTCAGGAGAGAGAATTTGTCGGTTTACATTCACAAATACTTTCCAAAGAATGATGATAAAGCAAATCAGCTTATCCAGTTCACTAATGATAATGATGTCATATCTGAAAACATGGCCCACTTTCCTATATATGTAGCCATGTTGTGTCTTATGTGGAAAGAACTTGATGAGCAAAAGCTAAAGGAAATGAAATCACTGACATCTTTTTCTCAGATATTCAAAGAAATGATTGCCTTTCTAAAAGAACATTATGCTCAGAAAGAAGTGAAGAAAGTAGGCAGCCCCTCACTTATTGCCTATTTGAAACAAATTGATGAGCTCCTTGGACCGATTGGCAAACAGGCCCTCAATGGTCTGCTAGAAAATACATTGGTTTTTGGTGAAGATGATTTTGAAATATGCCCAGAATCCATGGACACTGCCTGTAGGGCTGGGATTTTGTCTCAGGAGGACAGAATTACAGATAGCATAGACATACATCAGAGGAATTCTCATGTGCAATCGGCAGTCTTCTTCCCTCACAAACTGTTTCAGGATTACATGGCGGGAGTCCATCTTGCTTCCCTGTATGAATTAGATCACAATGAATTCAACAGGCTGATTGAGGAAGCAGTGCTACCAAGGAAAGAGGAGTTTAGGTATCTCCTGTACTTCACTGTGTCACAAAACCAAAGCATTGCAACGCATGTAATGAAGTCTATGCTCCAGGGACCATACATGAACAGATGGGCTCCACGGCCACAGGAACAGCTAGATTTCATTGTTGATGTAGCCTTTGAGAGTCAGGACCCAGCTGTAGCAGCCTTGGTGAAAGACAGGGTTTCATCAAAGGAGATTGAGCTGACAGTGGACACATTTGTGACGGCACACACTGTAGCAGGTTATGCATTCATTAGACCACATGTGGTAAGTTTAATCATTTTAAACAAAATCAGTTCAAACATTTTTGCACAAGTTTTTATGCCTCCGTTACGAAGTAGCCGGAGGCATTACCGTATGTTTTTGGGTTGTCCGTCCGTATGTCCCGTTCTCATTCCACCAGTACTTTGCCAGGGGGTGGGGGGATGCTGCAGGACCCCATACATGTAAGTTCCCTGACCCAATTTATTTTGCCAATTAGAGGACACACGTTTCTGACCAAACTCTAGTTATTCTTTAATTTCCGACAGTTATCATAATGCCTTCTCACGATTTTCAAGGGCAAATTATGAAAAAGAATGTGTTAAGGCTGTGCATAACCGTGTAATGAGGTACTCGAGTACACTCCCAGGCTTATAGGCGAATACTTGGACGCCATTTTTTTTTGTTATCAGGTGGGCTGTATCTAATACAGACCACCTTATAATTTTGTTAAAATTGCCTTTATCAGGTGGGCTGTATAACGTACAGACCACCTTATAATTTCGTTAGAATTGCCTTTATTTATTATTATTATTAAATATTTTTCTTATTTCTAACCACTTTTTTGTGAACAAAATAACACGAAAATGGCTCAATCAAATGCCTTGAAATTTGGCACACATATGTATAGGCATATGTACGAAGCACAATAACGTTTTCAACATTGACCTTCACTGATGACGTCATCTAGGCGCCATTTTGTAAAATTTTACGAAAATCAACTCATGATCATATCTTCATAACCAAAAGGTATTTCTCATTCATATTTATTATGATCAAGGTCAATATCCGTCCGGTCAATTTCAGGTCAAATAACGCGCGCGTGCGCGTACGTCCGCGCGTAAATGCGCGCGCAAAATTTTAAAATGCTCAAAATCGTCTCAAAATCATTTTGCATACGTTTAAGGCCATTCTAAGCATTTTATAAAAAATTGCTCACACGCGCATGCGCGCGCGTTTTCGCGCGTAAAACTTTTACACAACATAGAATCGCCATTTTTTTTCTTTCATAATATTCCACATATTTTTACAAACAAATTGATACCATGTTTGTCTCTTAATGACTATTAATAACGGAATGATCGACCGTTTAACATAAATTTCAGTGCGCGCGAGCTCTTGTAATACATAGCATATATGGGCAAAAACATGCCTATACAAAATCCATTGTAGCTCTTTAGGCTGCAAGGTGACCCCAATTTTGTTTTCATATTTTGATAGAAAATAAATTGGAGATATGATTTCATGTTTCATTTGACCCTCAATTAACTCATGACGTCATCATAATGACCTCTGAACTCAAAATTTCAATTTGCATATTATGATGTCAGCATATTTTTTTTAAATTGACTGTATCTCTAAAAATATTGATCAATTTTCTTCCAAATTTTGATATGTTCTACCTGAGACAATGTTCTACAAATATGGCTGCCATAAATTTTCATTTTGACAAAGGCATCAGGACGTATTTGTGCGATTAAAGGAGGCATGTCAATTTTTCACTTTTTGCGTGTATTCTCTAAGGGACATGAGTTTTTCTCAAAACTGGATTCTACATTTCCGTCTTTCGCGAGCAATATCTCTGTCGTTTTAGCTTTGTTTACGCTGAACTTCGAGTATGTTGTAGCTGAGACAATATGCTATCTCAAATGTGCCCTTTATTTTGTCTTAAATTTTAGTTGGACCAGCCCACCTATACTTGTTCCAAACAAGTATTACAAATCTAGTTATTATTTTTTTTTTGAACCATTTTTTTGTGAACAAGATAACTTTGAAATGGTTCAACCAAATATCTTGAAATTTGGCACACATATGTATAGGCATATGGACAAAACAAGGTAAGGTTTTCAATCTTGACCTTGACTGATGACGTCATCTAGGCGCCATTTTGTGAATTTTTCTGAAAATCAACTTATGATCATATCTTCGTAACCAAAAGTTATTTCTCATTCATATTTATCATGATTGAGGTCAATATCAGTCCGGTTAATTTCAGGTCAAAAAACGCGCGCATGCGCGGTTGTCCGCGCGTCTGTACGCGCGCAAAAATTTCAAATGCCCAAATTCGTCTCAAATTTATTTTGCATACGTTTCAGGTCATTTTAAGCATTTTATAAAAAAATCGCGCACACGCGCATGCGCGCGCGTTTTCGCGCGTTACACCATTACACAATATATTTTGATAGAGAATGAGTCGGAAATATGATTTAATGTCTCATTTGGCTATTAAAAATATTTTGACATCATCATAATGGCCTTCGAACTAAAAATAGGAATTTGCATATTATGACGTCAGCATATTTATGGAGAATTGATTGTATCTCTGTATATATTAATCGATTTTCTTCAAAATTTCGATATGTTGTAGCTAAGATAATTCTCTACAAGTTCAATTATAACCATTTTTTATTTTGATGACGTCATCAGAGTGAAAATTTCGATTAAAGGCCTCATGTCAGAAATTTCACAATTTGCGTGTTATGACTATAGAAGGTGAATTTCGTTCACGTAATGAATCTACGTGATATTATAGTATTAATGACTGCTTTGAGAGAAATAGTTGTTTTATTACGCTCAAGGGAAGGTTAGAATTGTGCTATTGTAACCTTCCCGAGAGCGTAATAAAACAACTATTTCTCGAATATTAAAGCAGTCATTAATACTTTTATATGCCGAAAAAAAATAGACTAAAAAATGAAAAATGAAAAATATTTATCATTTTGTCGAAGACGGGATTCGAACCCTTGCGTGCAACAAGTGGTGTATCGAAAACCAACGCTTAGACCACTCGGCTATGGCCCGCCGTTAACATGCTTGGCAGTTTTCTCCAATATATACATTAAAATGGATTGAAACCGGCTTCGCGTGTGATGAATGCTTCGCAAAAGCTCCATATACGGACTCTTCTTTTACTTTTGCAATGCATATTGGCACGAACTTAGATCAAGATCTATCGGCAGATGTTGTTTTTTTGTTTTTGGAAGTTTATTTTCGTCTTCATGTCAACAATGCAAGATAAAATTGTCGGTAAGATCGATCGAGATTCAATTGTATTGAAATTACCGACCAATCCTTCGCACACATACGGCATCCTCCATCGCTCAAACCATTTTTTAACATGTAAACCTATGGGGTAACCATGGAGGCTGACCAACTTTTTTTAATAACCATGGTTATTAAAAATATTGAAATGTTTTATGCATGGTTACCGAGAATTTTACAGGAACAGTTGAAGTTTATGAATGCAATTCGACCAATCAGATGGCTGGATTTCTTAAGTGAGGTATATAATGTTTATTAAAAATTTATAAGCAGTTTCTCGCTTATTTTTGCTCTATTTTTAGTTGACCAAGCCCACCTATACTTGTTCCAACCAAGTATTATATGTCTAGTTTTTAATTCATTTTTTAAATTTTATTTAATTTTTTTTTTTTTGAGGTGAGTTGACAGTGATTTAGCTGGGAAACAATTTTACCCACAGTACCATGTCGGCGGCGGGCGCTCTCCCTGGCATGGGTAAGCGTCGGCCTGGACAGTGCCAGGCGCGGGCAAAAAAAAAAAATGGCGGCCGACTATTCGAGTACGAGAAATCGTACTCGAGTAGTTGTCAACAGTGCGAGTACTTGAGTATTCGAGTACTCGTCGCAGCCTTAGAATGTGTGTAAATATTTAAACATACTGAAAATAGATGGTTGGATGTGTGAGAGACAAGAGCAAGTGGTAGAAGCATCAACATGCTCTGGTTGATGAGTGTGAAGTATGGAAACTGGTCACGAATACTTACTGACAGGACTACAATTTAAAAAAAAATTAATCAAAATTTACTGTTGCTCCCAGAAATTTTGATAAATTTCAAATAGCGCATACGGTCATACAATTGTAGCTGCGACCATGAAAATCTCAGATTATTTAGTTGTGGTATATACATGTAATTTCAAAACAGGAATAGTCAAACGGTAGATTTTAGTCAAGAAACATTGTGATTGTTTTATAGCTAATTTAATATCTTGACCTGGAGAGGGAGCTATACAACATAAAGAGTTTATTATTTACAATTTCATCACTTTAGACTCAATTTCAACCGCGACAACGGAGCACTGAATACCTGTATTGTAGATCGCATATGCTACCACTTTGTTCATTTGAACCAAATTCATGACCCCATACAAAAACTTTGTATTACCTTGAATCTCCATAGTTCTAGCAGCACATCTAGGGCAACCACTCATGTAGGCTACACATGTATGGCTAATATCCGAGTAAACATTCATATTTTATATCCCATCAGTAATCACTTTGTCATTTTATCCAGGTTGAACTCCATATCGAGAGAGATTGTGGACCTATTATGTCACTTGATGTGGCAGAGATAATATGGTCCATGCCATCCTTGAAGAAAGTTTCTCTACTCGGTGCATTCCATCATTGTTTTTTTCAAACACTTGCAAAGAAAGGAACAGAATCAAAGGTGAGCAGTTCATCCACAATTATGATGTACACATGTATGTGTGAGTGTTTAGTTTCATTTCATTCCATTAGCATCTCTTACATTTTCTAATCCACATTTTACATAGTTGAGTTTTTGTTTCGGACCGCAAATGCCTTCAAAGTGTATTCTTAGGCATGAGATATTTATTATTCCTATCGTTCCGCCGCAGGATCCTGCAATACATGCTGCAGAACGATCGGCGGAATGCGGCGTCCTGCTGAGTGACAAGAGTACAAATATTATACAACACTGCGCCAGAACACATTGATTTATTATATCCGCGCAGCGCTTGCAAGCCGGTAAACTGTACATGCGCACGACACAAACTTAATATCGAGTGTCCCGACATTGACATTTCTATATTATAAACAAGTCAGAGTTAAAATAACTTCTACAACAGCTGTGCGTGTGTTTATAAACATGACATTTAAAAATATTTTCTACTACAATCAAGTGTTTGTTTATAAACATGATAGAGTTAAAATAATTTCTACTACAAATGACGTCACACTTCACCACTCTACACAGTTTTTTAGGTTGCCAAATGGCAGTTTAGGTGGTCACAGTGGATAGGGTTTACAGAGGTTTGTGTAATGCGTAGACATATTACAAAACATACGCGCGAGGGCTTATGCACGCTTTGACGCCTGTGAGCAGCGGGAAAAAAAAATTGGGGCTCCATATTAATTTTTTTTTACATTTTTGGTGGCTACTTTTTCAACTTTTGGGGGCTACTCTTTTCAAGGGCTACTTTTGTATTAATTTGTTGAGTTTATGTAGTAGGCTTACTGACTTCTATTCGAGTACAAGAAATCGTAGTTGTCAACAGTGCGAGTATTCAAGAACTGGTCGCAGTCTTCTATCATTGATTAAGGTTTCAGGCTTCCTGCTTCATATTTATCCATTAATTACCCATTCAAAAAGAAAGCATTTATCTACTTTAAAAAAAAAGGTTTTTGTGCATCGATTTGATGCAAGAACTGTAAATTTACAAGAATTTACATACGCACAACATCGTAAGCTATGGATTTTGTTATTTATGATCAAATTTGTTGTATACGATTATCCACTGAGATTCAGCAAGCTAGCTCACATGCGCTGGGACCAAGAAAATACATACCATGATTATGAAGCTAGCTAGGAGAGAGAGCGGTCGCTCGTAGTCGTGGGACATTACCGCAAGTGTTTGAATTATATTGCTGGGGTGTTTTGGGGGTTGCCAACTGGGCAGCCAAGACTGGACTTTTAGGTTGGTCAATGGCACCCGGGCAACCACTAATTTAGAGCCCTGCTGAACTCGAGAAGAAGAAGGAGAAAACCACTTAAATAAATACTTTTTATATTTTTCCATATTTTGACGTACCGGTACAAGAATTAAATTGTTTTGGTTGAGAATGTGGATATTAATACAGCAGTATTATGCATGCAGTTGGTGATAAATATAAGAATGCAATTAAAAATTTGGTACTAGTACATAAATATAAGCATGTACATGTTAGATGAGTTACCTAACTATATTGACAAACCATACAGGTCCGGACTCTCAAGCTTCATGGTGTCAAGTGTCCCACACCAGCCTCATCACGTTACCTAGCAGAAGCACTGTGTTCTTTTCCAAAACTGACTGACCTGACACTTGGAATGGTTCTAAATGAGGAGTTCTACTCTACATTCAGAGCAAAGGCATCATCTATACAGGTGTGTGTCCTAATGTAATTGTCATGGAAAGGGTCATTGATAGACAGAAACAGCAGTAACACCCTTTTTTAAAGACCATTCACTTGATATATTTGAATAGTCATGAAATTTGGAATGAAAGCACACTACACAAATGCTGATTCAGTTGAAATTCAAGTGTGTTTAAGATTGACATTTTTTTGATAAATAATCAATTTCTGCATGTATTTGGAGAGGGTCATGAAAGAAGAAAGAGTAGTAATAATTATATGATGCACATGTATACATCGTTTTTTTTCTTGCAAAACACCCTTATGTTTTTAAGAGGATTCACAGAATATTTTGGAATAGTCATGAAATATGGAATGAAAGGAAACTCTGTTCACATTATGTATTGTAATTTGCAGGTTTATTTTGAATTTGTTGTTTTGTTAAATATGTAATTGTTTATCATTGTATTTTGTTTGTATAGTGCTTAGAGACTTCAGTAGTCAGCTTAATGAGCACCGTTTTTATTATTTTATTATTATTATGCATGTGCTGATTCAGTTGAAATTCAAGTATGGAAAAGATTTACATTGTTTGAATAAATAATCAATATCCAACATTTTCCAAGTTTGATTGGTAGGAAAGATAAGTTGAATCGTTTTTTAAGAGCCAGTTATAATAAAGACTTGAATTTACCAAACTGTGCCACAGCAACAAACCTCCTGAATCAGGGGTCTTGTGCACATGAAATTCAGAGTTATGAATACCTTTAATACACTAGTAGCAAAGGTATATTTCTGGGTATTATTAATATCAGTGTTATTGGGAGTAGGACTTATCAATGCAAACAGGTTGGAAGCCCGATAAAGAATACATATATAATTTTTATGCCTCCGCCACCGAAGGTGGTGCCGGAGGCATCATGTTTTCGGGTTGTCCGTCCGTACGTCCGTCGCGTTTGACCGTTATCACAATATCTCAAGAACCGTTTAAGATTTAAACTTAAGACTCGGGAATAGTATTTATCACCATAGGAAGACGATCTGATTAGATTTTGGAGTACGTAGGTCAAAGGTCACAGGTCACAGAGGTCAACTTATGAAATTCCTTGTATTGAGTTTGTTAGCGCGATATCTCAAGAACCATTTGAGATTTAAACTTCAAACTTAAGGATAGTATGTATCACCATAGGAAGACGATCTGATTAGATTTTGGAGCACGTATGTCAAAGGTCAAGGGTCACAGAGGTCAACTTATGAAATTCCATACATTGAGATTGTTATCATGATATCTCAAGAACCACTGGAGATTTAAACTTCAAACTTAGTGATAGTGTGTATCACCATAGGAAGACAATCTGATTAGATTTTGGAGCACGTAGGTCAAAGGTCAAAGGCCACAGCGCACATTATGAATGCAAAAACAGCTTGTGATCGCGTTATCTCAAGAACCGATTGATGGATTCATGCCAAAATTAGGTCATGTTTGTTACTTGCAGAGCCAATGAACTGAGTAGATTCTTGGTTCATAAGGTCAAAGGTCAAAGGTCATGGGCCCATTATGTATGCAAAAATAGCTTGTGAACGCATTCTCATTAGAACTGACAGATGGATTACTATTTAACTCAGAACATCTTGCAGAGCCAATGAACTGAGTAGATTTTATGGTCATGAGGTCAAAGATCAAAGGGTCATATATATGTATATGAGAAATTGCTTGTAATCACAATATTCTGAGAACCTGTCAATGGATTACCATTGAACGTGAATTCAATTTTTTTTTTTCTGTTTTGGTTTGTAAAATTGCTCTATAACGGAGGCATCATTTTCGACTGCGCGCAGTCGAATTCCATCTAGTTTTGTTATCACTCTTACTAAATCATACTCTTTATGGAAATCTTGTGTGTGTTGTTTTAGTACACAAGAATCAAATTTTGGAAATAAAATCTATTTTGTTGAGCATTAATGTTATCATGAATGCAAAGATGTAATTAATAGAATTTATGTGAAATATTAGAATACAATGAGAAATAAGTAAATAAAACATATGCATGTAAAGACGTGCTGCTTAACTGTATTTACAAATGATGCAGGTCCAGACTCTCAAGCTTCTTATTGACCAGTGTCCAACACCAGCCTCATCACATCACCTTGCAGAAGCACTGGGTTCTATGCCATACCTGACTGACCTGACACTTGGAAGGATTCTCAATGAGGAGTTCTACTCTACATTGAAAGCAAAGGCATCGTCCATACAGGTATGTTTGTCCTAATGTAAATGTCATGGAGGGTCATTGAAAGAAAGAAACAGCAGTAACGGTTATATGATGCATACATATATGTTTTTTTCTTCCAAACACCATTTTTTTAAAGGCCATTAACTTGATATATATTGGAATAGTCATGAAACGTGGAATGAAAGCACACTTCACAAATGCTGATTTACCTATTATTTGCTATTTTATCCAAACTACGCCTCCATCGAGAACTCTTTAAAAACGTCACATTCGCGCATGCCCCACCCCCCGTACATCGCCTTCCCATATGATTCATGTGCGCCACGCACGTCCGCCATTCACCCTCTTTCTATTCTCGCCTACCGGAGAGACATCGTATATAGCCGAGTCACATTTAAAATCAAGGATTCTGTCCTTTTTTCGATAAGCTTAGCTCTTTTTCGCATTGAATTCCGTCCTCATTTTAATTGCTATTAATTTGGTGGGGCGGGTTCCCAAGTCACATTTTTATTTTTGCGGAAATTTAAGTATCATTTCTGCACCGCATATTTCCTTTTTCATCACTGTAAATTACAGGCTTCGGTATGCCGCTGGTTAGGGCGTTGGGTCCTGGCGTTACGGCCTTTGGTTTTGGGATTGCCTACGTGTAGGTTTGGCGATTAATAGTAAGATTAAACGAGAACTTACGTTCGAAGTTTGATCGTTACTTTATGAATAATTAGAGGGAAGAGTATATATGAGAACCCGCATGCACAGATCATTTTATGAAGCAATCGTGGCTACTATTGGAAAATGGACCTGAAGAAAATAGAAGCTGACGAGAACTGTCTTAAGTCAACCTTTTATGATAAAGGGAGGGAGAGGTGGGCATATATACTCTTCCCTCTAATTATTCATAAAATAACGATCTAACTTTGAATGTAAGTTCTTGTTTAATCTTACTATTTTACTTCATAATTCTTGTTCGAGAATATATGATAGTTCAAAGATCAGTAGTCACGATGCTGTAGTAACAGTGTGCACCAATACACATTTGTTACTGACCTGTGGGCACCGTAACAATGATGTGGCTACCTGACCCATCATGGAACGTTTATGAAGGTGAAGTACCTGCCTTCAGTGATACAACAGCCGTACCAAAAGAAGCTGTAGATTCAACAGGCTTGTTGTAAAATTTGTCAAATGCCTTTTCAATTGCCCATCCGGCTTGTTTAAGGATGTCCGATATCGGTACACTTTCAGCCAAAGATGTGGATGCTTTTGATAGGTGACAAATAGATAGTAGTGCACTACACAAATGCATTTGTGTACTGCGAATAGGCATTCGATTCAAGGGCTATTTCAATATTTCCTTGTCTGCTTTGCTTAAAGGTAATACAAAGTTTTGGTATGGGGTCATGAATTTGGTTCAAATGAACATATTAGAAGCATATGCGATCCTACAACGTTCAGTGATCGTTGTCGCGGTTGAAATCGAGCCTAAAATTATGAAATTGTAAATAATAAACTCTTTATGTTATAGCTCCCTCTCAAGGTCAAGATATTAATTAAGCTAATTTCTTGACTAAAATCGACCAATTAGCTATTCCGGTTTGGAAAATATATATCACAACTAAATATTCTGAGATTTTCATGGTCGCAGCTACCATTGTACGGCCGTAGGCGCTATTTGAAATTTATCAAGATTTACCGGGAGCACCGGTAAATTTTTATATTCAATTTTTCTCGAAAACAGAAGTGTTTCAGGGGCTAATTTTTCTAGTGCTTATAATACATCCACAGGGGCATCCAAATATATCAAAATTGTTAAGAATCACTATCTACCCAATTTTCAAAATTTACCAAAACTTTGTATTACCTTTGAGCAGTTTATCAACAAAGATTTCCTCTGAATCAGTCTTAAAGTTCACATTGTCAACATTCGAGTAATGAAGTGCAATCCCTGTGTTGAACTAATGCTAGCAACATGCTGAGTTTAAGTGTCAATTCACGTAGAGGCAACTTATGAGCCGGTGTCACTTGGCGAAGATAATCTAAGACGGTGCGGACATCCCATAGGCTGCTGTATCTAGGCGTGGGTGTCCTGACGAGTTGGAACACTCCTTCAAGTATCTGCAAACCAAAGGATGCGTTAAGACTGTATACAGTATTTGCCGGCGTAAAGGCCGCAGTATTTTTGGAAGAGAAAATATCAAAAAGTCGGGGTGCGGCGTATACGCCGAAACAGTAAAAATCGCAAGTCAAAACAGCACGTCCATTATTTGTAGGCAACTTCGTACAAAAAAATATATTAACAAAATTGACTTGAAAACACATCGGACAAGATCTAGTCTGAACCACGTCAGCAGCAAATTTGAAGAAGTTATCTTTTTAATCTTTGTGCAACCAAAGAAATAAGAAGAAAACTGACCAGAAACTCGTACTAAAAATCGTACTTGTAAAAATGTCCTTGGCTAATAATAGACAGCGCATGGCCCGGTAACCAAAATCATACCTCGCTCACACACTCTGTGGTGGGGAGCTACCGGGCTGGGAGTTGCAACAAATTCAACGCAGCTCCGGAGATTCACAGCGCCCAATCGTCGGTGTTCTTAACTTTTCAGTAAGATAATTCTGAATTATAATTGAGACTATCTAATTAATTAAAGCGACAAACTAACCTCGGTAGATCTCTAATAACAATACAAAAGCTTGTTTATTTTCTCCATTTGGCAGTACGATAGGGGTAAGACCGGATAACATTATGGCCACAGCTTGGTTATGGCAGGCCATTCATGTTTCTGTATGCATGCGAAGCGCCCTCTGGTGTCCAATGAATGTGCTAATCTGCCTAAAAATCGATGAAGATTTGCCAAATTATGATCATTTTTTAGGTAAACTTCCTGTAAATTTATAAAATGATTGATAATTTTGGTATTAGTTCGTAGGAAAAATAGAGTTCTACCAGAAAATTATGATTATTTTCTTTGGTCCATTTTTTTTTTGTTTTCCTTTTTTTTTTTTTTTTTTTTTTTTTTTTTTCTCTCTACGAAATGTCAAAGTTGGGGGGTGCGGCCTATGCGCGGTGCGGCCTTTACGCCGGCAAATACGGTAGCTGCAATCATCCAAAAAAATAAAAGATGCAATGGCGCTTCTTGCAGTGTTGATGGCACTGTAGCCATAATTTTCTCTGAAGTACATTTGATTGAAAAATTCCAGCAGTCTTTTCCACCTTTGTGTGGGTCCATGGCAATTTCTGAGATTGACAAAACTTTTCCGTTTCATTAAATAGGTGTTGTAGTGTTTCTTTGTGGAGTTCCTCCAAGAAGTTCCTAAGATTTTAACTGACTCCATTTTTAGTCTGTGTGAAGCGAAGTGTCTGTTCCAAGCCTGCAACACAAGATATATTGGTTCATTGATGCGGCATACCAGATACTGGTTGTGTGAGTAATGTTTTTCGACCGTGGGAGGTGCAACGGTTTGTCAAGCAACTTGTCGTTCAAAATTGGGTTCCAAGCTTGAGTTGGCCAATTTGGTACTATTAACTTGGTACTTGTGCCCTATCTTGCCTTATTTTGTGTAGGCATCTGGGAACAAGGCTGAGCGGTGGAAATGCATAGGAATTCATGCAGCCCCAATCAAGTGTGAACGCATCTACTGCCCAAGCATCAGGCATCGAAGAAACATATGTAGGAAGTTGTTCATTCAGTCTTGATGCAAATAGGTCAATTTTGGGGAGACCACATTTCCTCACTATGTTGTTGAATACATTCCTGTCAAGCAACCACTCAATATATTATATAATGATTTATTTATTCAAAAATCACATTGCAGCCCAAAGGCTGAATTGCACGAATTTTTTACAAATCTTTGACATAAAAACAAAATTATAATGAACATTGTAAAAAGCATTACACAAGATAATAACTGCATACAAAATTAGTATCGTAATATATTCAACAAATATTCTTTTACATTTTAAACCGAAATAGCTCGGATTATCAGATGGTTTAAAGGCACATAGATTAATAGCTGATCAGATTGAGAGAGGGAGAGAGAGAATCAAGAAGGGAGAGAAAAGAAGGTGCGAGTCAGAGAGGAAGAACTAGTGTTGGAAGGAAAAATATCATAAGGGAAAAACTAAGAATCAGGAGTGACGAAAACCAGAAAAGGGCTTAAGGTATGTGTTTTTGAATGCTTCATCGTCAGATGAGATAGCAAACCAGGTACAATGAATACATGATATATTGATATGTGAATATTGTAAACAAATAAAATACTATTCATCATTAAAAAAGGTTGTATGCTTAAAATAATACTTAAACAGTGAAATTAGATAAATTATACACTATACAGAGTCCACAAATAGATACAAATAGGCTATTATTTACATTTAAAACATTATATGTTGGATGCGAGGAATTAGGCAATAAAAAAGCAAAGGCAGATGTGTATATCACAATATGTTGATGAAGTTGGAAAGCGAGAGAGAGAGAGAGGGAGGGGGAGGAATAAGATAGAAAAGGTAGTATGTGAGAGAAGGAATAACAGAAGGAGAGAATTAGTAATTTAGTAAAAGAGAGAAAATGGAAGGAGGTGAAAGAAAAAGTCTCAAATTTCATCAATATCCAAATCTAAGGTATGTGTAAATTGAACATCATCCCAAATAACCAATACATCAATAACAATGTTCACCAATATCCACAATCATGATATCATCAATGAATTTTAACAAAACAAATTCATCAAAGGCAATCATATGATTATTATTATCAGTCTTATTAGACTTTTCATGAGGTATTTAGTATGTCAATCAAGAAAGGGATGGGGCTTTTTCTGTACCTTTCTGTCCTACAGCGCATTTGTTGGTAGTGGGTTTTATTTCTAAGTGATCGGGAACCTTCATGTTGTCGCCTAAGGGGTAACCAGCTATTGAAGTGGCTAGATTTCGTGAGGGCCTGGGCAAATTTCTTACAAAGATGAACTCTTCTAACTTCAAGTTTCTCAAGACGTGTGTAGTCCAGCGCTTCATCGTAAGATGAATAAGCTGAACCCATGATCAAACGAAGGGCTCGTTTTTGCACTCTCTCAATTTGACTACTTTGGAAAAGGGTAAGACCTGGGTGCCAAACAGGGGTAGCATACTCAACGAGGGGGCGAATGAAACCTGTATAAATGGTCAACAAATCACAGACTGGGAGCCGAAACGGAAGTAGGGCGCTTAACATATACATTCTCTTGTTTGCTTTCCGCACCATTTCCTGAACATGTTCTCCCCATTTCAAATCTGATTGTACCGTGACCCCAAGTATTTTCACTGATTTAACCTGGTTTAGAGAGTGATCCGCAAGTGTTAC